CCCGTTGCTGTGTTACTCACATCTGTAGCCATGAGCTCCTCCTGGTCATCAATGCTGGGGACAGTGACCTCCCCTTGACTCACATAGTGGAAATCGTAAGGGTTGGTGGTAATGAGGAGCATGTCTGAAAGCAGGAAGAGGCAAGGCATCGGGTTACTTTTGCCAATCAGATGAGAGAGGGAACAGTTCCTCAGTGATCAGCCCCAAAAAGCCATAATGCTCCTTCCTACCAATTAGCTCTGGCTTCTTGTTGGACATGATCTGATAAAAGATGTGGTAGCTCCTTTCCGCCTTGAGCTGGAAAGTGACTCTGGACTTCTCCAGCAGATCTGCCCAGGCAGGTAGAAAGAGTTAGGCACTTGTGGGAATGGACATGGAGATGGGAATAGGGGAAGGGATGGGAGCAGTCCAGGAGAATGTCTTACAAGTTTCAATGTCAGCAGAAGCCAGTTTGCCTGTGGCCCCAAAGTGGATTCTGATGAATTTACCCTGTTAAGCAAAAGCAGCAGCAGATCAGGCTGGATGTGTTCTGCTGACATCTCCTTTGCATGAAGAGCTGCTCAGGCACCATGTGTGTTGCCATGAGGGGCAGAGATTTTATGCAAATCAGGAACTCACAAAGCGTGAGGAGTTGTCGTTCCTCACGGTCTTGGCGTTTCCAAAGGCCTCCAGCAGTGGGTTGGCGCTGATGATTTGATCCTCAAGCGTTCCCTGCTCAGAGATAATTACTGCTAGTTATCCCTTCCAAACATCCTGACAGGAACAGATGAAAGCATTGCTCCCACCATTTGTCCACTAACTCACCTGCATTTTGCCTGATGTCTGCTCCTCCTTCTTCTTGTCCCCACTGGCTGCAATTGTTGCAAAATACTGGATGACACGCTTTGTGTTCACAGTCTTCCCAGCACCGGATTCTCCGCTGCCCAAGCCAAGAGAGAAGCAGAGGGTGCGTGGTCAGGCAGGAGGTCCCCTGGCACCGGGCAGCCCCGCAGGGACCCGCGCAGGGGGTGTACGTACGTGATCAGGATGGACTGGTTCTCCCGATCTGTGAACAAGGCAGAAAAGAAGCGATTATTATTATTATTATTATTATTAGTCATGAATATCATTGATAAAATTGTTCCTGTGACTTTTAGAAGGTGTGCTAGCAATAGGCATCTATTTCCATTAATAATACTGCCTATCTTCATCCCTATTTCCTTTTCAATATTTAATGTTCCTAGATTCAGCTGGGAGGCTGATGTCTTGACCCTGAGATGTTGAAACATGCACTTCTTTTTCTGGGTATTCCATTCCTGTCACACTGTTCATTTTGTTTCTGAAAATTATTCCAGCTAAGTATCAATTTTGTAGAGTTATTAAACTGATTAAATGATTATTAAGCTGATTAAATGGCCTATAAGTAAGTTGAATTGAACTGGAGCATGTGCTTCTCATAATCTTTATCACATCGTAACAGCCACTCCTTCTTAGTCAGTAGGCCTCCTAAATAGTTTTTATGTTTTTGGTCAATTGATTATTGCCTAAAGAAAATTAGAATAACATCATAAATATGTAGTGACCTTTACCAGAGTAGTCTGCCATGCTCTAGAATATTCAAATATTGGTACTTCCAAAACTAGATTTGATATTTCTCTCTGCTATAGCTTGACCTGAGTTTTCTTTCCACAATTTTGCCTGATTGCTTTTTTAACCTATGCTCCCATTGTGATTCCACTGACAAAATCCTTGCACTATAAAAACTGAAAAATCTCTATGAAATCTGAAGATTATAAAGCATTAGGGAACTAACTCTTAGTGGAGGACTCTAGGATTGTACTTAAAGAGTTTCTGCATGTCTTAAGAAGGTGTCAGCAAGGGTAAATATATAACAACTTACATGAGTACTACCCTGATAAGACACACTACTCAAACATCAATTTAATATTGTTTGTTTTCATTGTATTCTCTTACAATTAATGTTCTTAATGCTCTGAGTGCTACAGAATTAAATACAGTAATTGGGGACAAAAGAGGGAAGAAGATTTCTTTTAACAAATTAAAATACTTGTTATTATACTGTTATCTATATTTCTGACCAATCTGCTCTTTACTAAAATTCTGAGTATTTAGACAATGTTAGAAAAGTTGTCACTACCCTTCTTTGGTATTTCTTTCCTTTATATTAATGAATGGAAAAGTAGAATTTTTTTCTGAGATGGATGAAGGAAGTTATCAATTTTCCCATCAGGTTTCTCTGCAATTTCTGACTGAGACTGCTTCCAGAGTTTTTGAAAACCTACAATATGAAGCATTGGCTCCAACATTGAATGTACTTTCCTTTTACTCACAGTGTTATTTACAGAAATTCATCCTAGTGATTTTCAGTTCTGCATAGAAAATCATTCAAAGAACAATCCTTTCATGTGAGAAAAAGCAGAACTTTAAAGTATATTCTAATTTCTTTAATGGAAAATCTGACAGTATATTCAGTGTTAAATCATATCATCCCAAATACACTGGACATGAAATTTTGACACTGATTTCTATAAACTTCATCTAAATGATGATGTTCAGTAAAAAATCTATTTACAGTGATGACAGAACATCCATCTTTACAGCAACATTAAACTGAACTATTGTGCAGTAAAAAGAATTTTATTCTCTTTTCTGAATATTCACAGCCAAGTGATTTAGAGAAAACCAAGTAACTCACCAGTCAGCATGAACTGATAGGCGTTGTCAGAGATGGAGAAGATGTGTGGAGGGGCCTCCTGGCGCTTCTTGCCTCGGTAGGCCAACACCACCTCGGGGTTGTACACCGGCAGCCACTTGTAGGGGTTGACAGTGACGCAGAAGAGACCCGAGTAGGTCTGTGAGGAAGGGACACAGCATGTTGGCTTCCCCTCAGCCTGGCCCAGCACTTGCTGAGGCTGCCCAAAGGAAGCTGCTGCTGCCACTTACGTAGATCATCCAGGCTGCGTAACGCTCTTTGAGGTTGTACAGCACGGCGGGTTCGTGGAGGTGGGTCATCATGGCCATGTCCTCGATCTTGTCATACTTGGGAGGGTTCATGGAGAAGATTTGATCTTCCTTCACTGTCAGGGTCTGCCACAGAATAGAGAGATGCATGTATGTCAGCTAAGAACCCAGAGTGGGAATTAAATTTTATTTGTAAATTTTGCATTTATTCACCTCTCCACCTTCAGTCTTGACAGTGACCTTCCCTGCATCCTTACTCTCGATTTTCCCTTTCACATAGGACTCCTTTGGATGTACCACAAAGACAGAGGTCTTGGCATCAAAAGGTTTGTTCTGGGCCTCAATTCTCTCCTTCTCTGACTTTCGAAGGTAAGGAGCCGCCTCGCCAAAGGCGGCCATGTCAGCGTCTGGAGTTGACATCGTTGCACTTCTTCAGGCGCCACAGTCAGCAGGGTCCTCTGCAGGCTATAAGATACGTTGTATCAGTGAATTAACATCTTTATGTGAAAGAAAGGAGATCTCTTGCACTTCTATCTTTTCAGATATTAAAGTAGGTATAAACAAGTCAAAAGTTGAATTTAAACTTCCCAGTCTTGGCTGAAAATACTTATATAGCTCTCTAAAATTAATCCTTAGATATCCAGCTAAGAGACTATGTAGAACAACAGTTAAGTGTACAGTATGTGGTGACGTTTAGCAGTATTATTTCAACTTTGTGAACTCTAGCAAATTTGGCTGTTCCCATAACAGAGTCTCTGATTTTTTATTTTTTTATTTAATGCTACTGAAAGTCTCTGAAGTAATTATTTTTCTGATAGCAAACAGTGGCTTTCTAAAAATTACTTGCTATGGATAATTCATCTTGTATTATGACAATTACAAATGTTACTATTGCCTGTTCTCCCTTCCACAAATCTTAAACCCTTGGATTTCATCCTGTTCCTTAAAAATTGTTAAATTTTATTATTGATTTTGGTGGCAGAAGTCACTGCTGCTTGAAAACATAACAACTCATTTTGTGTTGCACAGATATCCAGATCTTATATATAAGTTGAAGGAAAACATGCTGCCTTCAAAGTTGCAATAAAGTTACTGCTCATAGGGTCAGTCCATGACAGAAGTGGATATCCAAGTCTTATAGGAAGTTAAATGGAATAAAAAGGTATACGTTTTGCCCAGCAGTTCACAGGAGCCAAACACTTACCTTGAAATTTTCTGTCAAGACGGGGCACAGCACTCCAAAGAGACTTTTATAGACTCTGGTATGCAGATGCTTTGGATGTTTCCTTTTCCTTCTGTCAAAATATATTTTGGCAAACCATCTTTGGCAAAATATTGCCTGGCAAACTTAACTAATGGCATAATTGTCATTTGACCTGATATATTTAGAAATGTTTTGCATCTTACCATTCCTGTGGATACATTTCCTATAAATAGTTTGACAGGGCTATTAATATTGGAATCTGGACTAGTCAAGGCACTTAAAAAGCTTGGGTGTATGATTTATTGCTTCTTCTATGGTCTTCACAGGTAACTTAATCTTTGATCCAGATGGGATTCTTTGGCATTTCTGTACTTTTGCAAATGTGAAAGGGAAATAATGTAATGTATCTTTTACATGTGGTCCTGTGAACTTAGAGCTTGCCTTCACATCATTAGAAAAGGCAGTTCTACAAAAGACAAATTATTATTAAAACTATTTCAGTGATTCATTATATATTATAATAAAAAGGGGGAAACCAGATGTATTGTGGGACAGGAATATCAGCTAGAGAAGAATCCAACAGGGAGCAAGGTCAAATACAGTTTCAAGTTTGGTCATGCAGTTTGTGCCTTCAGTGTGAAATGTGACTCCTTAGCTATAAAAGCAATTGAATATGTATGTGAATAAATCCTCACTTGGTATTTTGAAGAAATAAAAAAAATTCAGAATGTGCATACTAGAGGAATGTTCACTATTGTCACAGACAGTCATAAGTGATATAACAGAAAATTCTTCATAGTTTCAAACAAACAAAATATTCTTAATATCTCAGGCCTGAAAAAAATAGAAAATTATACAGCTTTTGCAAGTAATTTTAGGTTGCAAAGAAGTTGATGCTTCTGCTACAGAGCTGATACAGAAGAAATGTATAAAAATATTAATAGGAAAAATATTAATATAAAAATTATTTCTGTTTCTCAAAATTTATTAAAGATTTTATAAGGGTTTAGAGAGCCTAAGAGGCAAAAGTTATCTAGACTATGAAATACTTTCAACCCTCAGTAGACATACAGTCAATAATATACATATAAATGAAACTTCCTTTCATCTGACACAAACATGAAGTGCTAACATGCCTTAAAGAGCTCAGGCTCATGTTGCTAATATTTATTTGCCTGTAGTCGATGTATACCAAGCAATGCTCTCAACCATGTCAGGCCTTCACTACTTACAGCTCCAAAGAAATTCACAACCCCTCTGCCCAAACACAATTCTACCCACATTCACACACACAGCTTTGGTCTGGGACCCGATACATCCTCAGTCCAAAATCACAAATATCTTGCACTCTTACAAATTCATACAGATCCAACAAGAGCTCTCAACATGGTGCTGCCTGTTTTGGAGCAGCATTGCTGTAGGCAATACCCTGAGAAAGGGGGAATTTGACAGTAGTTCTGGAGAATGAGTGGTCAAGTTCTAGGAAAAAGGGCACTGTCACTTGAGCTGCTTTAAATACTGTCAGTTCTGAATGTGTTCCTCTCCTGGTCACTGGCATTTTGATTATTAAAAGATTATATTCAGTGGGTAAAGCCCAGTGAAGAGCAGAGGGGCAAGAAGCCCAGTGAAGAGCAGAGGGGCAAGGTCAGTAAATGTGATCCAAGGAGATATCCAACATCAAGCACTGATGCGGGCATGGAAACCTTGTTCCAAGGAGGAGCATGCAACTTTCTGGAGTTCACAATCAGAGCTCAGCCCTGGGCTCCCCGTGCAGGGAAACACCCTCTGCCCTGAACAGGAGGAGCTCAGAAACAACCTGTGTAAAACAGTGACTGCAGGGGGGCATCAGAAGTCCTGAGTCTGCGCAGTCTCTGACTTCCACAGGCACAGAACTTAGAGGACAAATCACAGAATGGTTTGGGCTGGAAGGAGCCTTAGAAGAATCATCTAGTGCCACACCACTGCTGTGGGCAGGAATATCTTTGAATAGATTAGGTTGCTCCAAGCCCCACTCGATCTCAGCTTGGACACTTCCATTGATGGGACATTTCCATATTCTGGGGTGAGTCTGTTGCTCTGTCTCACTGGCCTCTTCTTAAAAAGTGTCACTTTTATATCCAACTAGAATCTACCCTTTTAAATTTAAAACTTTTTTCCTTGTCCTGTGGCCACAGGCCTAGGTAAAAAGTCTTTTCTCCCTCTTATGAGCTGCCTTTATATATTGAAAACCTGCAATATGGTCTTCTCAGAGCCTTCTTACCTCCACGCAGAGCAGCCACAACTAAGTAAGCCTTTCTTCATAGCAGAGGCATTCCAGGACTTGGTTCTCTTTTTGTGGCTCTTCTCTGCATCTGCTCCACCCGGTGTATTTTCCTTTTTTTCTGGGAGGTCCCAGAGATGAATACAGCACTACAGATGGAGTCTCATGACAGCTCTTTAACTGGATGACATTCCTTCCCACTGGTGTAACAACTGAACAATCCAGCTTAATGATTTATCAGTAGATTGAACACAGCACACATAACTCTTCACTTTCATTCTATCTCTGCCTGGTAGAGCAGTAGAGAAGTAAGAAGGTAAGCATCCTTCTTACTTACTTACTTACTTACTTCTTATCCCATGGTTTCATCACATCTATAAAGCCTTTGTTGGGATACCTTGCTGAAAGTTTTTGGAAATCCCAGTCAATTATATCCACTGTATCTCAAAGTTCTGTGTGTTTTTTCATATATAAAGGCTGACTGTAATTTAACAGACTACTCCTTTTGGAAGGACATAAACCACCTGTCCTTAGTTCCCCATACCAGTTCTTTCCCTGGAGGTGTTACATATGCTTGGTCCAGTGCTCCCTGGGAACTCAGAATCTGCAGCTGCAACAGTGTACTCTGCCCTAGGAGGCAGGACCTGGAACTGAGCATGGTAACTTTCTCCCCCTGCACTCAAGTCTTCATTGTCAGTTTATGTGGATCTCTCCTCAGGCTCAGAATCTGCCATGTGATTGTCCATCTTCTTTACTGCTTCTTTTGCACACTGAACGGAAAATCATTAGTCTAGAGAGAAAATGACAGCTACTAATGAAGTGTTTTCCTTTCACTGCTGGACTGCTGCAATCTGTCTCTTCCCTGCTCACTGTCTGCTCTGATCTCTCTTGTCATAGGTTTGTGAAAGAAGCTCCTGGTGAGGGTTTTGAGTTTCTACAACACCAGTAAGGAAAACACCATATCAAACAGCTGGTCTTTCTCATTAAGAAAGAAAAATTCCCCAAGACAGTTTTAGAAAGTAGTGTGACAGAAACTCAGCTGTTGTAGACACTGACCTAATTTATGGAAACTAAAGGAATTCTCACAGAACTGTCATCAACCTCCTCCAGCAGAAATTGAGGGGATGTGATATTCTTCATGCTCTTCTAATTAAATTCAAGAAGAAAAAATAGTGGAGACTAAAGACTATCTTCTGTCAGCTTCAGAAAAAAACATGAACTCTTTTGGTTATTAGCACTCTATAAATCACTCTCAGAGGCCAGCAAAAGGAGTATCTCACACCTGAAAACTGCAAGCTGGAAAGTGCTGAGGTGCCGAAAGGGTGAATATAATATAAGATATTGTCTGGGGTATACCAGTAGGAAGAACTTGCAGGGGGCACAATCAGGAATTATTGTCCTTGATTTCTCTCCATGTAATGGTGTTTTTCTATTCACACCTTACTCACTAAGAAAGAAAGAAGGGATAGGTAGTCAGGAACTAGATGACAAAAAGTCGCCTTGTGACATAGGTACACACAGATTATAAGATAAAACCGTGCAAAACTGAACCAAAATTGGTACTAAAGATCTAACCAATAAAAGCAGAAAGAAAAGAAAAGTACTGCTCATGGTATGCACACAAACAAATCTATGGGATTTATTCTCTAGACATTAAAACAGTTAAAAACAAAAATAGAAGAGAGAAGAGAGTGATAGAGGGTTCACATTTTGTGCAGCCCTCAGGTCACTTTGCTGCCTTGTGACATCCTCACTCTTCCTCTTCTATCTTCTTGCCATGAATGTCCCGGCTCTTGGCTCGGAGCTTGTTGACCTGTGACTCCGGCTCTTGGCTCGGAGCTTGTTGACCTGTGACTCTGCAATGTCAGCCCGCTCCTCGGCTTCCTCCAGCTCGTGCTGGATCTTGCGGAACTTGGAGAGGTTCACATTGGACAGCTCCTCCTGGGAGGGAAGAGGGAGTCAGGGCTCAGGAGCACAGGACAAGGGTTTCACTCCTGCTGCAAGTCAGCCTTATGGGGCTGCAACTCTCCATCCCCCTCCCACCAATGCTCACACACCAGCCTCACACAGAGCTCCTCATCCTCCCATTTTCAGGACTCGACTGGGACAAGCTTCACCAGGACTATGTCACACGTGAGAAGCAATTTCACCCCTTTCATTCACCCCTTTCACCCCTATAATTTCTGGAGTTACTCTCCAACTTCTTTCTGCCCAATTGTCAGTGTGACTTAGTGGCCTGGGAAGACCCTGAAGTCTTCTGCAGCTGATTACTAGCAGAGATTCAGGAACTTGTCAGTCAGTGGGTGTGGCCCTGGGTGTGTTTATTCCGGCCTCCTGTGTGAAACAGGCTGCACCACTTCCCTTAATGAACATTCCTAAGACAATTGTGACTTGGGAGTTTCCTTCATAGCCCTCTCCTGGTATTCACCTTCATTCAATGTGTGTTGTGCCCCAATGGAATGTGGCCTTTGCCCATCCTCCAAGCAATACTTACAGCCTCCTCAGCTTGTCTCTTGTAGGATTTCACTTTCATTTGCAGCTTGTCCACCAGATCCTGCAGCCTCAGGACATTCTTCCTGTCTTCCTCAGACTAGAGTGTTTGGCAAACAGGAAAGAGAGTCAATTCTTGATTCTGCATCACGTGAAGTTAACAATTCCCCTTGGGGATGGTGTGTGTAAAACGTGCCTTGCTGTGAGAAAACCGTGTGAGAGCAGGATCCCTCCTCCCTTACCTGGTAGGTCAGTTCCTTCACCCTCCGCT